GATAAGCACTTACGTAAAGTAGCGCTTTATGACCATTTTGCTCTTTTCCAGGTAGTAGATGTAGATCATAAATTGTGAATTTCAAAAAACAGTGCCGATGCGTCAGACGTGTTCTTATGGGAGCAGATTCGCCAGGTGAGCGCCACAGTTTCCAATGTTTCTTGATTTTTGGTGAGTGCCAGTGGTTCCATGTTTCGTCGACGATTTTGACCCATGTAGTCTTTTGAGATGTCTTCTAACTCAGCATTATGCTTCGAGTAGCTGTTTTCGCGGTATCTAGGTGCGACTCATCAAAAATTGGCGTGCGACCACGTCAAAACTCATCAAACCAATCGCAAAGGAAAGAGAGGAGTCACCTTATACAGCACCTAACCGCTCTTTGACTTCAATACTCGATTTTTGTTTCTGGAACAACAGTGGGATTAGCAACCGATATTGTCATTTTTTAATTTTTTTTAAATCCACGGACAAAACTTCTTCTACTTGCTGTCAAAATGAAACTAGAAGTCCGATTTGGTTGAAATTTTGACAGTAGCCGAGAATGTGTTAGACGGCAGTACATATATTTTACAATAGTTGATACATCACGGGGTGCTGCTATTTACTTATCAGACCAACCTCGTATTTACGTGTAAATAGTGAAATTACGAAGTTTTTATGTAGAGTTATGAGCTTAATTTCACTCCACATAGATTAAGTGTTGGATATTTGAGCAACTACCGTTATATAGCTGCTCTGGCTTTACCGCCGAGTTTGCGCGCAAAATACCAAAGTCATCGCACTGCACCGTTGAGTTACAGCAAATTCCATAAATAAACTCGAGTGTTGCCTGCGAGCAGCTCAAATTATGTGTGACAGAAAAAACTAATAACCAGCACAAACACACAAACACACACTCACCGGCAAATACACACTCGCTTAGATTCATTCATAGCGAAAAGCATTCTGTATTCGATCTGCCACATTGTTGCCCAGTCATCGCGTCTAAGCTCAACACAACTATTTAATACATATTTATGAGCTATCTTTTATGCATACGAAACTATTTTGCCATGCCGCGACACACCTGTTAGCGACACTTGGCCGCAGTGGCAGTCTAATACAGTCTAACAAAAACAAAAACAACAAAAAATTCACAGCATTTTCCTTCTCCCTCTCTCTCTCCTCTTCGGCTTTTCTAAATACGAATTCATCAGAGTCCTCTCTCTCCCGAGTAATGCGTGTGCACGTAATTGCTCTAATTCTTCTGTTCGCTGTGTTTTCTTAACATCACTGAGCTGGAAAATCTTTCGTCGTCGGTTGGATGTGCACTTTTGTATGGAATAAATTCTGACAACACACTATCTGCTTCAAACGTCCGCCTCTCTTCCTGCGACTAGTCAACGTAATATCTTTCATGAATTAATGTGTAAATAAATATAGTAAAATACCGAAGTTAGGTCAAAGGTCACATGGTTATTCTTTCAAATCAAAATATTGTACTTTGCTACGATCTCTAGAGGTGTCAGTCATGCTGTACATAGAATAGTTTATTTTTAGAATAAACAAATTCGCCCATCAAAAATTCGCCAAGCTTACAGGATGCCAGTTGCATCAGCTGCTTGGAAGAACATGAGATAGAATCATCTGAACACTTCCTTCTCGAACGTTCCGCCTTTGCTAGATCAAGGCAAAAATAACTTGGATCGCATACTCTAAAGACATCCAGGTGAAATAGCAGAGAAATAAATGTATGTCTGCTGAATGTTCTCTCCGGACTATTATAATTTAACTGTTAGCGAACAATGAGTTTACAAGTGGACTACTTTGTGTTGCATGAATATCTGATTTTGCTGCGCACTGCCACTTTAGAGCACTCATATACTTCTTTGACAATAAAAATGAATTCAAAATAGACAAGATGATGTATGAGATTGAATAAGAAACTTGGCATAACCTCAATAATATAATTGACATTACTAAATGAATATATTGAAGAGCTCTTTAAGGTTAGTACATAGGCATACTGGAGGAAATCAAGGCTTAGCTTGCTAAGCTTACTTTGACTACCTATTTGAGTTCTACTACTTCAGTGAAGATATTTCGGTTTGTTATACTAAAAGCTAAATGTTTATGTATGATAACGTTTCCTGAACAGAATAAAGTCGAACGAAAATCTGGGTTGCTTTGGCATACTCGAACAAAGCGCTCAATCAAAGGTGAGAGTTATAGCAGGGCTCTATCCGAAAAGTAACCAAAAGTAACAGTTGCCTTGGAACAAAAATATATATGATTTCAAGAATTAATTCTTTAATCGCTCAGCTTTGGATAATACTTTTTCCGTAGAACTCGGTCCAAAGCTATGAACTAGTGAAAGGATTATTTCCAAAAATTTAATCTTTCTACACTGTATTCACATACTACCAAAAATTTTCATTTCAAACAGCTTTCATACATTGCGGAATTTGACTACACCAAGAGCAGGCATCAAAAGAAAGCACTAAGATTATTTAAGTAAGAAAAAGCAACTAAACACTTACTAAACGACGAGTCATCTACACATTAAGAAAATGTTGCTTTTCTAAGGATATGATGCTACAGTAGTTATAAATGGGAATATATATATTAACCTGCATAAGTGAACTAAGGTTACAATAATTATTATAAAGGGTTCTTGAAGTAGAATGATGATTATGGCTTTACCTGTGCGATTTGGTACGAGCTTCTTGTAAAATTTTCCAACATATTTTCTATCCATTAGAGCCTCTGCAATAACTGCTCATAGACGTTTTCATAGAGAAAGTAGAAAAATTTTCTGCTATAAGAATTAAAAAGATTGGTTGCAACAGGAAGTGTTATGTACATAGCGATATTCTGAACCAACTCAAAAAAATTTAAATAGATGAGATTTTAACCTCCCAAGATTGGATTTCAGAAGTTACTTTCAAGTCAGAAAACCTTTAATACGTGAATGGAGAAAAAGTTGAATAGGAGAGAAGGATACTATCTCAACCTATACTAACGGGTTCAAAAAGTACTGGGGAGTAGTGACGGGATATACTCCGAGGATCCGAGGAAACTCAGCTTCCAAACGAAAGTACTAGGCATAGAGAAGGCCTATGGAGTTCTACTGAATAACTACGAGAGGTTACAGAAAGCTGCCATATACCATACACAGATAGCGAAGTGGCAATACTAGCCTTGTCGTTGCTAAGGATTAATTCTAGTGTAGTCAAAAAATGTAGGAAGACTTTAAGCTCATTGGCAGGGAAACTCCACTTGTCCGTAATTTGGGTTCCCGATCATAGGAACATTTTCGGCAACGAAAAAGTAAACGAGTTGCCTAAGTCAGGAGTTTCTATAGACGAATCCGAGGCGAAGATAATACCGTGCTCGCTAGGAGCATATTTTAGTTGAAACACCCTGTATAATATGGCATAGTTCTACGAGATTCCACTAACTATAACTAATACACATTTATTTATATATATCTTTGCAGATGCACACAGCGACATGTTCGTACACATGTCAGTTAAATTCCTCATTTACCGTTAATATTTCACAGAAACTGTGCTTATGATTGCATAAGTTATTTGCGTTTAGTTGCGTCATAGCTTATAGTTTCATTATATTCACAGATAACACATACATATGTATGTTATGTGTATAGTACAGTTATGTGGCATGCAAGTGTATTTGGTTGCCTTTGACTTGGCCCGAAACCAACGTTGGCGATAAAATGTCTTCAAGCTACCGAATTAAAGGACGGCCCTCAATGAGCACCAACTGCAGGTGATAGTTGTCTTGATCCACCTAGCAATCGCTTGCTGCTGACTACGCTCTTTCTGAACGAAATGCAAATGAGCAATGTCATCAGCGTACATTCTCCAATACAGTGGACGTCGTTAAGCGAAGCGGCGGGTATTTTGACACAGTACCAAGCCAGCTCATCGCTGAAGATACGCATGTATTACACTATCTTCACTACCTTCACTACTTATACACCAATGCAGGTGTTTAAGTATGTGTATGTGTGTGTGCAGGTGAAACTGACGTTGATAAATAACTTAATTTGTGGCAATGACACGGTTTACTTCCGCTTACACTTTGATCTTATGCCTCATGACTAATATGTGCGTCTCTTTATGTGTAGGTGTGCGTGTATTTTTGTATGATTGTGTGTATTGGGCACATGGCACTCATTCCACTGCAAACTACAGACTGCTGGCTTTCTGTGAGCTCTTAGAATTATAATTCAGATATACATGAGTGCAAACACCTACATGGATACACATACACATACTCGCATATGCAGAAATGCTGCTGTTAAGACATTTTCATCTTTCTTCTTTTCGCTCATTTGCATAGTACGCTTTTTACGGCGCCAGTAGAGCTGATGGAAGTGGGAAAGCGACGGTGTGCGACGTAGAGTATGGTCGTCTGTAATGTTATTCTAATTAGAAATTATAATGTTCATGTTTTCACAATTTTCACACAGCAGCGGGATGCTCTTTGCAACTTCGCGAGCGTACTTAAATGCTTTTGTGACTTCTGCCAACTTTTATGACCAGAGAAAGCTTTTTTTGTTTTCAAAATACAATAATTAAAATGAAATGCAAAGAAATACGCGCTAACAAATACATATATATATATACACCCACACATGTGAAACCACATATTTACCTTTATAAAGCTAGTTGCCTATTTCCCTTGGAATAATTATTTTCTTAACGAAATTAAATGCGCAACCGAAATCTAGCTTTTGACACACGTCATGCGCCTGCAGGTATGCACTGGTTATTGTGTGCTTTCTTTATAAAATATAAAAGCGCCAGGTGTTGATGCTTAAACTTATTGTTTTAGCGCCTATTAAAATGAATGCTTTTAAGGGGAATTCTTCTTAATACGAGTAAAAATCATATATTTGCATTTTTAAATAATGAAACCCAGTATTTTGAATGGCACCAGCAGGCGTATAGAAAATATAATTGCTATCAAAACTTGCTTGAAGTTAAACTCACCTTTATTTACGGCTGCATTCTGCTGTTTTGGCCACAGTGAACTGAAAAAGATAAAGAAAATTATTTTAATTATGTATACACTTTTTTTAATGGAGAAATTACTAAAAAAACGTCAACTTTGGCTGCAAAGAAGCTATAATAGCCCTCACTGACACATTTTTATAACATAAAAGGGTACAAAAAGCTTTTCATCGGCCAATTTATTTGGACATTATTGCGATGCCTAAGATAATAATCTATGCCAAATTTCGTAAAGATAACTTGTCAAATAAAAAAGTTTTCCAGACTTGAGTGTGATCGGTCAGTTTTTATGCAACAGTGAAACTTGTTTCGCAAAGATAGTTTAAGAAAACATACAAAATATCGAAATTCCGAACGAAAAGGTCTCTCGTTGATCTACTTAGAAAAGTTCATGAATACTTTCAAGGATATCGTAATTTATTATTGGTAATATTATTCTCGACTTTCAATGTTAGAAAATAGAGTGGTGAGTAGAAGTGATAAGTGATCAAGATTTTTTGTGTATATGTGATATTGAGTGGGGAAAATATTCTGTCCAGGTGTCAGTGGCCTCGAGGTTGGTTTCTCAAATCAGTACAGTAAGGTGAATGGTCCATCAAATCATCATATAGGTCGATTTAACCCTAATTGGATCAGTAGGTAGTAGCGGTAAGCAAACGCACAGCTTGTATGCTTTCCATAAACCCCAAGTAAAGGTAGGGCTTAAGACAGAACTGTTTCATTTTATACTCTTGCAACATGTTGCTACCGAGTATTATAGTTTCTTTGCGTAGCGGTTTGCCCATATAACGGTTTTGTTAAAAATTACTAAAAGTGCGATAAATCAATATATAAATAATGAGAGACATTAAATTTTAGATTGAGGATGGAACGAGTGGGTTTTATAGGAGCCTTTTTATCTTCTGACATTCCTATTTTACGGTGAAAATTGGGGGAAATCGGACTACAACCACGCCTAATTCCAATATAATACAATTTTAAATTCCGTCTGATTCTGTCACATTTCCGTATACAAATCAAGCAACAATGATTGTGTCGAGGTAAAACTTTGACTGAATAATGCGTTTAAAGTGTGTCAATTATGACCAAAAATTGTACAAGTCGAACCAAAACTGTTGAAGCCTCTGCGTACCGAATATGTGAACCCCAGTGCCTATAGTTGAATTTTTACCGAAAATATCGGTCAACGTGTGAGATATATAAGTGAAATTTGAATTCTTATCTGGTAATAGTTCATCTTCATATCAAAAATGGGTTGAATTGATTCAATACTTTCCTTAGCCCCTATATACCTAACATAAAAATTTTCAAACTTTCTATCCTGATGAAATTGAGAGTACGTATTTTTCCAATAACAGTATAGTCTTTGTGCTTAAAACGGATTAAATCAGGTAAAAGTTTGCCTTAGCTCCCATATAACTAATATCAAAGATTCGGTTGACCTTTCTCGTTATACCTTATATTGGTGATGGTACATATGTGAGGTGCCTTAAAGAAATTCAGAGAACATCTTATTCTGTTAATAATATTTATCCCTTTCTCCCATGTACCTAATATACGATTTTCAAACTTCCGGATGGCTTTATAGTAAGTTAATATGTAAAATATCTTAGTAACATTAACTGAACGTATAATATTGGATAGACTAACATATACAACAAATTCTAGTATACAAAGGAATTCAAATAAAATAATGTATATTAAAAATCAAAGAGAAATGCCCATCGATGGCGTAAATAAGAACTTCTACTTATAGTGTAAAGCTATGAAATTGACCGAACTTTCCGCACGGCTAAGTGGTCACTCAGTCAACTTATTATTCGGCGTGACGCAGATTTTTTCTTTTCTCTGTTTTGGGACTAATTTTAATATATCTTCATAAAAGCGCAGAAGAATATAAAGGCCGATATTAAGAGAGTATACGCATTCTTAAATTATAACGACTTAATTATACTAAAATTATAAGCAGAATTTCATTAAATAACAGTTAAATACATATATAATGAAATTTGTCAGGTAGTAAAAAATAATAATAATGATATAATATATCTTTAAATAATACACTTCAAAAGCTGATTGCTATCGACATTGTGCCGTTATGTCATACATCACTCCACTCCGTTTGCCTGTGGGCGCGCTAAGTGAGCATAAATATGGCGTTTGAATTAAGCACAAGAGAAATTAATTGCATATAACAGTTGATTATGCAAGCAATCTTTTTGTTGGTGTTGTTGATGATATCTGTGATTAGCCTAACAATGTTGCTGACAGCAATGGAACAGATGTGATCACAAAAAACATTCACACACACTCACACCAACGCAGGGTCGAAATGTAATAAGTTAAAGCCACGGAATGGTCCACCGGTGGAAGGACGACAGACAAAGCGAGTGGATGGAACTGTAAAATGCGAAAGTTACAATCAAAAAGGCATAAATAAATATGACAAAAGGAAAGCAGATGCGTAGATAGAATTCAAATGTAGCACATACACTCAAACAGATGCACACAGTCGCGCACAAATACTAATCTTTATGAAGAAAAGTAGAGAATAAGTTGAGCGGAGTCCACTGGGCGTATGTTAAATAGCAGCGCCGACTGTCCATCCGTCTGCGTGTTGCGTTTGTCTTGTCAGCTGCAGCTGTTGTATGTTACCAAATGTTATGGCCTGCTGTGTTTTGTCGCCAAAGTTGTCCCGCGTCCTTTGGAAAATGATTATTTTTTTGTGTCTTCTTTGTGATTGTGGTGCTCGCTGGTAGGGGGAGGCATTTGACTTCTTCACCCATACACACGCTGTCTCTTAAGTTGCAGAAGCCACGTAAAATTATAAATTATAGAAAAAAATATTAAATTTGTATTTATAGTACTGCAATTTCGGGTGAGATACACTTGAGTGTGACTGCAGGTGTGGGTTCAAAAACTGTTGATAAACGTAATAAAATTGTTAAGCAATACTTAAAAGTATGCTTTACAAATTTTTACAGACACTTCTTCTGACCAAGTGCTATTTTATCGGCAAATCTAGCCTATTTGAACCTGAATATAATTTTTCATCCTTTAATCCAAGACAGAAAACCTATCAAAAAAAAAAAAGAAAAATTCATAAGAAAAATCCATAAACCGACTAGGGTCTCCGACGCGACGCGTCCGACAGACGTAATAAAATTATTAAGCAATACTTGAAATTATGCTTCGCTCTACCTACAGGCACTTTATTAGACCAAATGATATTTTCTTGGTAATTAGACCGTATTTTATTCGGCAAATTTTAATCTGAATAAATTTTTTTCTTGTCCAGGAACTAAAATTAAAATCTAACAAAAATATTCGTATATCAAATTATGCTTTTCTTTTTAGTTATATACCTAAACAGATGCGCTAAATATATTATAAAGTCAGCGCTCGATATTTTTATTTTTTGTAATACCACCGATAGACCTCACTTTCTCTCAACTAAAATTTTGTCGACATTAACTAAAAATTGCAAGTTGGTTAATCTTATAATCAATATGAATATATGAAAAAGTATTGAAAATTAGATTCATTTGATAAAAATGTATAGTAAACTGTTTGGATGTATTCGCATGGTTGCAATATATTCATTAGTGAACATGAGGGAAACCATAACTGTTGTGAGGAACAAAATTTAGATATTTTTCCCTAAAGATAAGACACAGAGCCAATTTTAAGAAGCACTCGAAATAAATTTAGAAAATCTAGTTTCTTCGCATGACTAACTCAACGTTGATGATTGCAGGTCGAAAAAACATAAATCACTTTTTTTTTTAAATTCGTTTTATGTTGGAAAAAAATTTGTTTTTAAAAGCAAAAACAATTCATTTTTAAATAAATTGTTGAATTTCTTTCTTATTCTTCGAAACAGGTAAATCTCTAGTTACAGGTACGTTAACTAGTAAAAACTCCGTCTTGAATAGTAAAGTATACAACTTTGATAAACTATTGATTATGGCTTAAAATGTGGTCCATTTGTAGACTAAACACCCGATTTTCTACACTAATGACTTAAATATAACTTTTCTTAATTTTATAAAACGCTACTTGAACACAACAGGTAATTCCGAACAATTTGTTGAAACAACTCCTGCAATAATTTTTGGGTCTATAATTATATTCGTGCGATTTGCCAATAGATGCTGCAACTTGATTATTATTCTATTGTTCCAATATTTCGAACATGTGTTGAAATGCTACTGTTTTTGTGCGTTTGTTTTTCAGTATACATACAAACATTTTTTCTCACTCAAATATTATATTTCGAATTTTGTGACTTCAAAAAAAGTTTTCAGATGAGGAACTGGTAGCATTGTTCGATGAAGATTGTTACCAAACACAAAAAGAGCTCGCAGAACCTTTGGGAGTCACTCACACAGTCAATTCGAAATGTTTAAAATCAGTCGGATACATTTAAAAGAGCAATGGAATTGGGTGCTATATGAATTGAAGCCGAGATAAGTGGAAAGACGATTTTGAATGTCAGAAATGCTGCTTAAATCCTACAAAATGAAGTAATTTTTGTATCGTGTTGTGGCTATCCGCAGCTAATAGTAGATTTATGGCAACTCTAAATGCAAAAACTCGTATTTGAAACGTGGCCAACCAGCCAAGCCAATAGTAGTGGCAATTGTCGAAAAACCGATTCATATGTATTTTAAAGCTGACGATGAAATAAACGGTACTTTTAATGGAGAAAAATGCAGTCAAATTATTCGCCAATTTTCCATACGTGACTATAAATGGTGTCAACAAGATAGTACAACCACAAAACAGTGCCTAAATTCAGCGAAAAACCAACGAAAAGCAAAAACACGTACGCGTATGCACATAAAACCTCGAGGCGCGGCGATTGGAATTCGCAATGTTTATTCCGAAAAAATTCCAACGATTGCTCTATTATGATTTTGACATATTTTTGCGGCTCATTGTGGCACACGATCACTCACACAAAAGTCTAGCTCGGCAGACACCAAACTGCTGGCTGCTGTCTACTGTCTGCTTGCCG